AACAGCAAGAACTACTCGAAAAATTGAGGAAAGAAGAAAATGCTAAAAAATATGAATCAATAATGAGAGACGTGAACGAAGCTATAAATGAATGTAATGGAGGATGTTAAAGAGCTCGAAACTAAGAAAAATAGGTGGAAATATATAAACAAATGTTAAATAGAAACGCGTTTGCCATATGTATAATTCATGACTCATAATAATTTAGTATAAATAAATTTTTGTCGTCAATAGCTTTAATACTGTTCAAAGATTCTTTACTTAAGAGTCAGAATTTAGGAATTGATATCTACATGACAGACCTCTTTTTTTCTTGTCAACAGCCTCTACCTCTTCAAAATAATCCTCTTCAAAATAATCCTCTTCAAAATAATATTCAACCCCAGTATTATATTAACCAGCTTCAACATGATTTATACATATTAATCATCGTCAAAATTTCCATCATATTTGAAATAATTTCTCAACTCATTAAAATAATCAACCACATAATTGAACATAAAAACAAAAATATGAACATTCACATCAAGAAATCGTTAATTCAAATGATTTTTTTCTTTTATAAATGAAATTACTTCATTATAATTTAATTTATATTATAATCAATTATTTTCGAATATACGTATTTGATAGATTAATTCCAAGTTTGTTCTTTTTAAATTGAATCTATTTTTATCTCACTTTATTCGTCTCTTTAGAAGTAGTTCTTTAGTAGTTCTTTTTAGTGATGATTTTTCTTCTCTGTTTTTCATTCGTTGCTTTAATAGTGTTAGTACTTTTGTCTTTTGTCATTTTGACAATTCTTTTATAGTTTTAGTGGTTTTAAAGTATTTTCTTTTTTTTTTCTTTTGATTTTATTATTCTTGTTTTATGTATTTATGCAAATATTAAAATAAAATATTGCAGTATTGAAAATTTTTGAGGAGGCATCTCGTAGAATTTATTTATAACTTTGAACGAAAAAAGTTTCGTAAACTACACAATTTATAACTCAAAATAAAAGGGGTTCACAGTTGTATAAAATTTTAATTAGTAAATGTTGCAACATTTTTAAATTCTGTATCTTTTAGCTACATTTATTTAGATTTTGTACAGTATAAAATTCCAATGGGATTTAAGTATCCAATAATGGGGTTATATCTTTTAAAGCTGAAAATTACATAATATAAATCAATGCCATTCATTTCACCGACAGTCATTTCATCGAAAGTTCATTTAGCAGACATGGTTAGATTAACATTTTGCTATTTCTGCATAATCTGCTTAACCAATTACAATTGAAAAGATTGATTAGTAATTATTATCGTTATATAACTAATAATGAAAAGTTAACATCCCAAAACAAGAGAACAATTAGCCGTCAAATATCTAATTTATGTACGTACAGTTTATACAATCGATAAACTTAAATTTTCTTGCTTAAAATAATTAAATTTGTTTAGTTAATTATTGTACGGGTCTGACGTAATAACCCATGCGTCACCTTCACCTCAATAAAAAGCCAGTTTTAATATTATTGTCATGAAATATTAAATACACGCATTAGATAACAGCGTAAATAAAAAAAGGATCTTAATTCTTTCATGCAAAATATCAAACAATTGAATCAAAGTTCAAAATCCCATTCATAAGAATTTTTTTAAAAAAATAAAAGCAAAACCATAATTACGTATAGCCTTATCCTAATGTTTTAAAGAAAGTGAAAATTTAATAACACAATCTCGTTCAGTAAAAATTTTATAAAGCAAATAACATATAACTCAGTCTAATTAGAATTGAAAGCAAAAACTTAATAATGTGCAATCCGCCCAAAAAGAATTTTATAAAACTGTCTAATAAAGAATTTTAGGGAAATCGAAAATCTAAAAGCGAAGCAATAATGTATGAAAATCCAATAAATAAAGAATTTTAAAGAAAGAGAAATCCATTTTAAGTTACGTAAGTTATGTTCTTTAATAACCTTAATGCTGGCTAAATTTATTCTGGCCGGCATTAATACTAAAGCCGGCCTGCTTGACTATGATATATGAGGTCTTGTAATGTAATTTACGATGTAACATTGTCACATAAGTTATTACAACCCTAGCTAATATCAATTTTAATAAAATTAATGCATACTTTCCAGCCTGTATTTACGGTCTTATAGGACGTGATCATATTTGTAGCGAGAATTTTCTATTTGCAAAAGCATCCACTGATGTGGCAATTCCCGACAACACATTTGAGGACGTATTTAAAAACTGGATTTTATTCGATTCAGTATATCAAAGTTTTTGGTAAGATTGTTAGGCCGGCATTATGCGGAAGCTCCGTTCACGTGACCTTATTTCTGCCTACGTTAAGGCAGAGATAAAGTCATGTGAATCAACCATTAAGATTCATATAACGATAACTATTACAATGCTACACCCATATAGTAATTTTAACCTATTAAACCTAATAACCTTTTAAAGCTGGTGAGAAATCATCGCTAGAAGTTTTAAATAACCTTCGAATTTTATTGCGCCACATGATCTATTTTATTTATTGTATGATTCATAAGAGAAAGAATACTAGTAATGGTCCTTTTTAATGTTGCTTATGCGGTGTTGAGGGATTCCTCATTATAGTAAAACCTGATACTATAGAACAATACCAGGTCTTACCAAAATAAAAGACACCTCAACATCGCATAAGCAACATTAAAAAGGTCCATTTATACATGACTGGGCTCTATCAAGCTAAAACATATTATAGTAGACTCTACTTTTACTACAATTAATGATCTAACCGATACATGAGGTCATGCCCCGACATAGTACATAAGGTACTGGTTATCAATACAACAGTCACTTTTATTATAATGAACAGTTCATATAAAAACCCCCTCTTCATAAGGGAGAGTGAGTCAGATATTCTGGTGCGGGTGCGTAATTTGGCGCGCTTAAATTTTCAGCTATACCACGTTAAACAGTGCTCAGAATCAAATTATATTAGTATTTCGATTCGTCTCATTGGGACGATTAAAATCACATTGTTTTAATTACTAAACTACAAAATAAACGAAGGTCAAATATCATGGTTCACGTATTATTCACGTTCACGTGTTCAATTTTTCTTTTAATTTTACTATGTATTTTCCTCATTCGGACAATTTATATGGGGAGAATGTAGTAATACAATACGAAACATAGCACCATAATACCTCTAACCTGGAAAAACAGCAGTTTTTTTTTAAGATTTTGAAAATTTAAATTTCAAAGTTTTTTTTAGTTCTATTTTTTTTATTTTTTTTTTATCATTCGACAGTAAATCGAAATGTTATTTTATTTCGCTAAATGTTTAAATAAATACGCTTTTCCTGAAAATTTTTATATATGCAACTCTTATAGCGAATTTAAGAATTATGAGAGGTCTAAGTAGTGATGTGCCGCGTATAGTACAGTACGCAATTTTTTTAGAATATTCTAGAACAAATTATAAAACCATTCATATCAAAAGCTTCCTTATGAAACCGCCTTTTGTATTCTAAGCAAGATTACTCCTTGCGAAATTTTGCATATAGGTAGTTTATATATCATACGTGTGCTATATATATTGCACATTGTCATGGGTTCTGTGACACAGGATTCAGAAGGGCATAGAAGTTTCATTTTATTTATTTATTTTTTTTTATCTTTTGTTTATTTTTGTAATAATGAATTATTCGTTAATTGAGGGACTGGTAATTGTAGTAAATATTTGGGACAAAAATTGTAGTAAATATTTAGAACAATAATTGTAGCAAATATTTGAAACGATAATTATGAGTAATGTTTAGAGAAGGCTATTCAACACAGGTTGTTACAACCCGTGAAGCATTGCCGGGAAAGCCTTACTAAGGTTCAAAAGTCTTCGCGCAGTAATTTATAGGATAGGAAAATGTATTTAAAGATCTCAATTTTCCATTAATAAAGTTTCCTCAGACTTCGATGTCTTTAATGAAGTGAATTAAGAATCGATTTCTCAAATGATTAAATACAGTTTTTGTGAATCTCATTTTTATTAAATTATTGTTATTACAGTTATCGATTTAAATCGATAACTGTAAGTTTTGATTTAAATCAATAATAATAAATCATCATTTATAAGCGTTGACTATCGAAATTAAACAGTTAATGATAATGATAAGTACCGTATATAATCACCATACCGATAACTATAATTATCAATTATTTGTTAGTAATCGTTACTTATCTATTTATAAAATTTCCTGATGACATACGTATCATAAGCCCTTTCCAAAATATTACTCATACAACGATATACTAAAAATATCTAAAGTGCCTAACTATATTACTCCTTTTCTACTCCAATTATCATTATTTCCTGTAGACTAGGCCAAATACTATGAAAAGGTCTGCCAAATGTGCTTGCGAATACGATGCCTTTCGGGAATGATATCATTATTACCGACAAAAAACTCGCAATCACCATCAATTATTTCTTGAATAGATGGATCAGTGACAGTGTTGTTAATATCACTATTTGGATTTTTGAATTATGGTTATTTACCCGGTTCAAGTCAAGTCATAAGACATCAGATTAGTTAAATAACTTCAATGTCCAACGATACACATAGTATATACATAGTTCTATAAATATAGTCTTGGTTTATAATCATACAATTACACATTTTAGATATCAGCACGTTCAATTGTATTGACTCAGTTAATAGATTAAATAACCGATTCATTAGTTCAAATAGTTAATTAATATTGTCTCGGTTAAATTAACAACACTGATCAGTGATGACAAAAAAATGCCCATTTAATTCACTGTATAATTTTTCGTCATTAGGATAGTGAGAGATCTGAATAAAAAAATAGATGAATTGAATAAAAAAATAGATGATCTGAAAGATGAAAAGGTGAATAATGTGGTTGAACAAACAAAAAAAAGATGTAAATGATTTATAGCCAAATTTAGTATATGGCTATTCTAATTTTTGGATGAGATTCATATAAGCTTTAAATAAATACATGTTTTATATAAATAAAAAATTATTTAGCATTTTAATTAAATTTTGAAATATGACCTTTATGGTACCGCATCTACCAGAAAATTTTATGATTCAGTAAATCCAAATTAGTTAGTTGGTATATAATACATCATAAATATGTGACAAAAAAAATATTAAACCTTACAAAAAACTATTCCAATTTTGTACTATTCTATACAATTCCAACACCGAAGACATTATAATTTTTCCGCTATTTTAAAATCAGTTATAATACTAATTTATAACTTATATGTAAAAATAAAAATTTTCCGCTATTTTAAAATCGATTAAATGCACTACCCCAGTTGAAATCCCTCCCGAAAAACGAACGTCCAATAAAAACGTTGGATAACTCTCGCCAGTCATAATATGTTTATCATGTGACCATTGACTAAAGAAAGTCCCGTGACGTCGAATCAAGACTCAATTTTGTGATTTCATTTTATTTCGGGTCGAAAGACTTGGAACCAGTCGGGTCAGAAAATCATTGACCCGGGCCCGAAACATAGCCGGTCTGCGGAACACTAATTCTGGCCGTAAATCGAAATTTTGCTTAGAATTAATAAGTTTGTGGTGTCCAAAAAATTTTGCAATTTATGTAACCCGAGACACTCCGGCGATTTGGATTCAGACCTAGGATCGAACCTACAGAGCATTATATACTGACGAGTAACATACCAAACAATTTTACTTAGTACACGGTTAGCAGGTTTGTTAGTAAAATTTGTTAAAATTTGGTGATTTCAAAAATTATTTAGGTCGGAGAACAATATCTAAATTTATGTATCTAAATTTTTTTATATTAGTGTTAAATTAATGCCAAATTTGGTTTAAATGCAGTATTTTTAATTTGTTATACATTCGGGTTTTATTTTTTTAAAAAGCTTTATTTTACCTGAAAAGTTTATCTTACATGAGATTCAGTTATCTTTGAAATAAATAAAGTAGGTTTAGAATTAATACATGTGAAATAGTCGAGATTCACAGTGGGGTATATACTGATTAAATCCAGGCTCTGAGACGCTTTGATTTATTTAAACAGAGTGAGATCTACTAGTCTGTTATCATTTTTGGTCATAAATTTTGATCATAATGAGAATTAGAGTCCGCGATCTAAAAAATATTGTTTTAACAGACGAAAGTTATAAAAAATATCGACATCATTTCACAACTACACCTCTTAATTTTTTAATTAAAGAAAACGTTAGTTTTTCGAAGCAACCAGAATGTGTTCATGATGTATTAAAAAGAATTAAAGATAGTAATAATTATGATGACGATTTTTATGTGGCAGCTCGGAAATTTATTAATAATGGTATTTAATCAGTTATTTTTTTTATCAAGCAGTTGATTTTTTTTAATTTATATTCTCGTTAATAGAAGGAACAGCAAGCCAAGGAAATACCATAATTAATAATTATGATGACAATTTTTATGTGGCAGTTCGGAAATATGGTATTTAATCCGTTATTTTTTTTTATCAAGCAGTTGAATTTTTTTTTTAATTTATATTCTCGTTAATAGAAGGAACAGCAAGCCAAGGAAATACCATAATTAATAATTATAATATTAAGATTGCAATCAGTGATGTAATATTGTTGATATTGCTTACAGTTAACATCCTTGTGTTATTTTTTTCGATCTATATTAGTCTTTTTGAAGCTGAAATATTACTCATATCGTTTACATTTAACATCCTAGTGTTATCCATTTCTATCTACATTTGTATTTTATTACAACATGTACTTCAGGTTGATTTAGTTTAATTTGGTTTTCTTGTTTCTTTGTCATTTGCAAAAAAATTAATAAAATTTGAAGTATAAGTTGTTACCGTGTCCTCGTAGAATTTGAAAAACTTCTGATATTTTAAATTTGTTTTATCAATTGTTGAAATTAATTTTTGATAGCTCTATCAGAAATCGAATCTTATCTCGACAACCTTTATTATAAACAATTATATGTTTATACATACTATGGATTGGGATGTAGACAAAATAGGAAGGATGCTTTATATCATTTAACCCGTAAAAAAGTTAATAAGTAAGTATACAATGATAATTATTTGAAAAATATATAATGTAAAAAAAAGAAGGACGAATAAGAAAGTATAAAATAATGGTAGTCATAGTTATTTGGAAGTAGAATCTATATTCATATTGATTTTCATTATTCAAATGCCGATTTTTACTTTTCAAAGACTGAGTTTTAATTTCCAAATATAACTGAATTTCATTTTCCAATTCTTGTATAATTCTATTAGATTGAATCGTTGGATTAAGTAAAAGCATAAAATAGTTATACGAAATTTACCTTTTCTTCTAATAATGTATCGACTGGTGATTTGTTCATTTTTGCACTTTGCTTAGGATTTCTTTTTGACTTAAACAAATCAATGATCGAGTATCAGACTGCTTTTTAATAATTGAATAACGGATCATACTGTATGCTAAAATTTTCACCAATCACTTTCTCCAGCCAATCAGATGCCAGAAAAGAACTATACGTACAGTACGTACAGCTAAAATTTTTCAGGTACTGTATAATATAAATGGCACATCACTAGGTGTTACTCTTTTTAACATAAATAAAGTCAAAAATAAAAATCACGTGACCTTCTACCAAATTCGTCGGAATGAACAAATATTGGCAAGTATATTTATTTGTGAACTAACTGAAGTATTTTTGTTGTTCATGCAAGTAATCAAATAGATCGAAAAGAATAACACCAGGATGTTAAATTTAAGTGATAACCTTATCATTAAAAAAAATATATTTTTTCGAAAAATTGGGTAGGCGGTTATGCAAACCGATAAATTAACTTTGCGTGGCCTTATCATAAATGCAAGAAATCTAACAATCGTTTATTAAAGGAAAAAATGGCAACACTTGCTAGAAAGTAACAAAATAATTCTGTTATAAATAACTGTAAAGTTTAGATTTTATTTAAATATTAGACTTCGTGAGGAAATTGAACGAGCTTAATAAAAAAATATATATATAAAGCGAAATGGCAATTACACAGAAATCGACGTTACTTGAAAGAGAAAATGCTCAACAAAATGAAAAATTTATTAAGAATACTTTATTAATATATTTTCTTCAAAAAATAAAATTCCAGAGGTAAAATGCATAGACACGAAAGCCTATAAAAACATTGAGGTATTCTGAGAGAAGGAGCTGTGTCCGTTTTCATATTATATTCAATGATGAAAAGGTTTATCTATATGATGAAAAGGTTTATATATCTAGGTATAACCATCAGGAACGGAACGACAATGCAACAAAAATAATATAATACCGGATTTTATCTTTTTAAATACAATAAAATAAAGTCAATCTCGTATTGTATACAGTATGTAAGTATTTTTAAGTTTTAAGTTTGTCTTAGAGCATGTATTAATATATTTTCTTCAAAAAAAATAATTACTTCATAAATCAAAGAGTATTAATTGAGATTTTTATATTTAAATTTTTTTTGTAGGAGAACTTAAAATTCATCACTTTGCGAGATCAGGGTGCATTCTACTTGTTTATCTATTTTGCCTGTATTCATTTATTGTTAGTGTTTGAATTATTTTACGCTAGATGTATTTTCACGGTTTTAAACGAAATAAATTCTACGATGAACTAATAAATTTAGGCGAAATTATCCGCAATCAAATTTTCATGATTTTTATAAAATTCGCGCCTCATTCGTTCATTTTTATTATTTGTTGTTATTTTTGCTTTGGGAGCTTTCCTGTTTGGAATTATATTAGATGTATTTGTTTATTTTGTATATAATTTCACCACAATGCCAGTATTTAAATTGATTCACGCAACAGTGCTAATTTCAAAAAGATGATTTCTTACAAAAGGAAAGATATGTATTGAAAAGGTCTTATTTCTAATATTAAGAGCAAATATTGAGAATATATTTTATTGTGATTAAGTCTGCCTGAAATCATTTAAATTCTAAATTTAAAGTCAACCATTTCAAGAATACTTGAACCGTGGCTTTTCTTTCACGTAATCAAGTAATTTTATTGATTTTTAAATCAAAATAATAAATTAAAAATAGACCTCGAGGACACGGCAACAACTTATACTCTAAATTTTATTAATTTGTTTGCAAATGACAAGAAAACTAAATCAACCATTGTAATCAAATACAAATGTAGATAGAAAAGGATAACACTATGATGTTAAATGTAAACGATATCAGTAACATTTTCGAAAAGACTATTGTAGATCGAAAAAAATAACACAAGAATGTTAACTGTAAGCAATATCAGTAACATTACAGGACCTTCCATTTGTATATTTTTCATCAAGCGATATAATGTGCAAATAAATTTTAATAAAAATTTTTTACTAATGTCATTTTCAAATTTGTTTTTTTTTTTTGCACAAATAAATTTATAACGATAATAAGAACTGCTTTTGAAAATTTTCTTTTGCAATCCTAACTAACGAAAAAAATAGTATGAGTATTAATGTGGACAAATTTGAGTATCAGTCTAATTTAATATATCTAAGCATTAATTTGGGCCGGATTAGGCGTGAATTAATTTGAGTATGAATTTGAGACGAATCAGAGTATAAATTTGGCCGAATTAGAGGCAGATTTGTTACCAAGAGATGGGCAAAGAAATGTGATAGCAAAAATTGGAATAAATATTAATGCCTAATGAGCTAGAAAGCATTAGCAAGAGCTCTTTGCAAAAACAATCTTGTAAATTTTCTTCAGTAATGACTCTTTCAGGAATAGATATTTGGTTTGTGCAATTCTTTAAGAATAGTCAGCTAGAATTTTAGCTTTATATACCAATATTTTTTAAGATCAATAAAATTAATTTATATTTAAAAAGGACATTTTTGCAATTTTAAAAAAATTATTTAATTTTAATTATCAATTAAAACCTAATATATAATCACAAATTGGAGAAATTTCTGGACGCAAAATTTTTTATTTATTTATTGTTCGCCGGTATTTTTAAAAAGAAATCAATTAAATCAGAAACATAGTTAAATATCAATAAAATAAGAAATCAATAATTGTGAAGAATAAAATTCATTTTTTTCATTATACGTCGTGACATTTCATCTCGGAAAATTGTTTGCAATGGATTGTACATATATTATTTCGTTATCTGGAAAATATATTATTTTGGTGCTAATTTGCATAATTTTTCATGTTTGGAATCCATTCGCAATTTCTCAATAGACAATATGGTGTCGGGAAAATTAGCTGGGAACTAACTTTCGGGGAATCATACCAGAATCAAATTTGAACTGTCTATTAGGGGTCATAACAATTGACTAAGAGATTATCTATACAATATCGATATCAAGTGAATTTTTAACCCATATGAGTTTAAATTACTTATTCGTTGAACTAGAGAATATGTTGGATGATAAACAAGTTGAAAATTTAAAGCAATTATTACCTGGTGATTTAGATAATAAAACAACATGGTGTATATTTGACAGGATTATAGGAACACTCCATCTGAATTTTTGTATTTGAAATTTAATATTGTTCTCTACAAATAATCTAGAAAAATATATTTCATCCAAAATTATCTCATTCCGGCACCAACTTTAAAAATGATACAAAGAAATTTATTAATAACTAATGGTTCTAATTAATAGATGATCGAGGTGTATTATATGTTGGAATATATGTAAACATTTTAATTTCTTCGCATTCATCCTCCATGCCATCATTAAAAATGTTCTCTTCTTCATTCTCTTCATTCCTATCGTTATCCTCACTATAATAATTGCTAATATGAACATTGTCCAAATTTTCATTAAATATCTCTTTAATAAGTCTCAAATTCTCTTCAATGTGAATACTAAATGTATAAAGAAATTGAATTAAATTTATTAGTTTATTCACTGAGTTATTCTTAAAAGGAATTTCAACAATTCCTAATCTTCTCATCCGATACAACGGTGCGATGCTTCTATCAATAATAAACAATTCTAAAACAGTTTCTAAATTTACAATAGATGTATTAATTTTTATATTTTATTAATAAAAATAAAAGATCAACTTACTAACCATGTGCGTGTAATAAATAAACCTTGATTTTTTGCATTTTTACCAAATCATCATAATTATGTGATTTTGCATACTTATTAATTACAAAATCTAGAGCATCTTTTCCGCATTTTGCTAATTTAATTCTGTCTTTCTTTATATGTACTTGCACCTGAGAAGATCGATTAAATGGTCCATTTGAAATTTCTCCTAACATGAGTTCTAAATCCAAATGTCCTCCAATTTCATATACTCCATATATGTCGTTTTTTTTAATCGGCCCTTTTTCATTATTTCTTTCTAAACTAGCTTTACTTGTAATTGTATCCCTATATAAATAAAATTTATTAATAAAAGAATTAATATATTAATTAATTTAGAAGATTAACATACCATCTAATAAATATGTCGGATTCTAAAAAATCTACAATAAAATTTACGATTGGTTGTAAAACATAATGTGCCCATGATGATTCGTTAACTTTAGTTGAACACGATTGTACACTAGGTATTCTCCACAACCTTTTTCTTTACAATTAAATAGAAACACATAAGAGTTTATTTCATAAAAGTTCATTAGATTTATAGATATAACTTACATTGAATCAATTAAAATAAGGGTATTTTGGTACAGACGATTATCATGATCCGGTATTAAAGCATTATCAGCCAAAAATTGGTTTTTAATAAATTTCTTTAGTCCATCAGGTAATTGCTTAGGCAATAATGTTTCTTTAACATTATCCCATAGCCTTATTCCTTGCAATGCCTTCTTAATTGGAGAATTTGGAGTATCCAAAGTTTCAATGTCCAGAATTCCAGAGAGTAATAAGTCATTCGAGCTTAATTCTACTTTTGAAAATGCATTGCTAATTGTCTTTACAATCTCGCTTTCACTAATAAATTTTAGCTAATTTGATTTAAACAAAATAATTATTAATATTTAGATATAAATTAAATTAATAAATTAATAAAATTTTAATTACATTTGTGATCCTTTTTTTTGCTTCAATTAATTCCAACGGTTCATACAATGTACAGTCTAGAACTTCCTGCCAACCTAGTCTTTTAGCACAAGATTTAATATATACACCATATTGAACATAAGTATTATCGTTTTGAGTAGTTTTGATAAGATCTATTAACACTTGAAGCTCTGACTATAAAAAAAATTTACAATTTAGTATAAGTATACAAAGTAAGAATAATTTATTTTAGCATACTTCAAGAATTATTTCCAAGTGAAGGGCCATTTCTTATGTGGGGGATTTAATTCAATCAAGTCCCATTATTAAGAAGTATTTAAATCATTTCAAAATCAAGTCCCACACACTAAGATAAAGTTTATGAAGACGTAGGTAATAAAACTGACTGATTATTTAACCAAACGAATAATAAATTCAAGCTCCTAAATGTAAGGGATTTAAAATTTAAATCAAGTCCTACATGTTACGAGGCTTGTATTTATTGCTTAAAACATTATTTGTATAAATCAACACATAAAGTCTTCAATAATTCTTATATGTGGGGGATTTAGATCATTTGGCGCTACGAAATAGAAATGAACAGTCTACAGATCCTTATACATGTCCAATAAATCAAGAGAAACTAATTCATCATTTAGATAGACTGCATAATTAAATTAGATGTCAAATATAATGATTATTACTTACCGAATAACTTTTTTTTTTTTTATTTGTTTTCCTAGAAAACGTGATATTTAAATCTTGTTTTATTTGGCTTATATTTTTTTTTAAATCAATTTTGTTGGTAATTGCGCTAAAGAGATAATAATGATATAAATTTACGGCTAATTTTTTTCTTTTAGCAAAATCGAAATAAGATTCCATTGTATTTGATTTAAACACGAATTCCAAAATCATAATTATTAAATGTAAACAATATGCATGATGTAGATCAGTATTTGGGACGTAACCTACACCTACGTACTCACCCACAAAAAATTTTCCGGTCATGTGACTTTTGTGGCGCTTTTTATGATTTTTCATAAAAAATCACTAATAGCTCCGAAGTTCGTCTATGAAATAATCTACTGCGCATTAATAAAAAAAATTCCTTGCAAAATTTTGGTATGAGTAGCACTCTAATCAAGCGTCTAACCCAAACCCTAACCACTCGATTTATTACTTTAATTCTTTCGCTTTAATCGATTGTTTTGATTGTTTTGATTTTCACGTTACACCTGATCTCAAATTTTGATTGGGCCAGCACTGACAATGCTATCCATCTAACGCATATACCATCAAAGGTTTTTAAAATTCACGACCAGTCAGAATGTCATGTGATTTCTAGTACTCTAAAATTATGGTTTCGTCTAACAACTATACATCTCTAATTTATCACTACTGGTTATTATAAATTTTCAAGATACAATTAAAATTGTATTAAGTGAGGGCCAAAATAATTAACATTTTCTTTACTTATAATACAAATAGCAGATAAAGGAATAGTATTGCGGTAAATCTATGAAATATTTCGAATTGCTCATCACGTGGTAAGATTTGACTGTCACATTGTTTTAAATACATATCTTTGTTATAATGAACAAATTGAAATGTTCAATATTCTTTACATTTATTAAATATAATTCCGGCCAAAATTGCCTAAGAAAATAAATTCAGCTTAAGATTTTCCCAATATACTGTATATACATATGCACCTAATTTTTAGCATTTATTAAATCATGTGCTTTCCAGTATAGTGATTCGATCCGTTTGTTATCTGATTGGTCGAATCTAATTTATTATTTAGGACAGGACTAGACAGCACATGTCATTTTTATTCTACTTTTTTAATCACGAATTCCAACCGAAAACCATAATCATCAGTATTCCAATCGCTTTAATGAAATAAAATGTAGAAAAAACTTTATTATTTTCAAGGACAATAAAGCAAAATTGAATAATCAAAAAAAATCAACAACAAAAGAACTACCGTAAACTGCTGGGTCTTGTATCTGGCAGTTTATGGTAGTAAAAAAACACTATTATTCAATTTATATTCAGATATTTTTTATCCTTCCAAAGCTTTTTTGTAGCTGATGAATTTTTTGGTATAATCCAAAAATAATACTACCAAAGTTATTGATATATTCTGATTGACCCTTATTCAACCTAATAATAAAATTCAATCGTTATAACAATTTTTTGGAAATTCAAAAAATTCAGGAAACATGCCTTTTCAGTTTTTTAACTTCTTCACGCAGACGATTGACTTCAGAAGACTTTTTGTGTTCTTCACTCAAACGACGACTAATTTGACCAAGTTCTTTCAAATTAAAGTTTTCTGTTTTTAACAAAAATATCTCATTTTGTTGGTTTTCTAAAAGAATGTCAACTTTCCATAGGAATCCTCTGTATTAGTATTTAGAAAAGTGCATTAGACGAAAAATAGTTAAGAATATTCATACTTTCTTGAATTAATGCATTTTTATTATTCAAAGTTATTATCGCTTGTTCGTAATTGTAAGAGAAAATAGCTTTCCAAAAGAAAAAAACGACATAAATTATTTTCATTAATATAAACTTTACAAGCATTCAAACAAAAACATTATACCATTCATATTCATGAGTTCAGAAAGTTTCCTATGGAAAACATTCATATTGTAGCTTAATAAATCAATTTAAATAAGAAGATTGACAGAAAAATAAAGGATGATTACATTTTTAAGTCGAAGTTTTCAGCAGTTAACAAAGATATTTCATTTTTTTGATGTTCTAAAATATTTTTCAAAAGAAATCCACTTATTAATATTTAGTGAAATATTAAAAGTTTAAACAGAAAATGAGATCACCTGTAATCACTTTCTCTTCGATCATATTAGGAATATTATCTTTGAAAACATAAATACGCATTAATTCAAGGAATTTTGATACTTTTGTTTAATACTAGTAAATAGAAATGAAATAATACTCTTACTTTCTGGAACCAACTGAAAATTCATTATGACTGAATAAATTCTCGACAAACGAGATAAAACCTTAACCTTAAAATTTTAAATTTTTCATAATAACATGCGAACAGAATTCTTTTATTTCTATTCTCGATTCTATACATAATCCACATTAATTAAATCTGTGCGTGTTTTCTGAAAAAATTATTACCTAGGTATTCAAAGAACGATCTGTTTTGCCGTAACGAAAAGGAGGGAGTCACAAGTCAATTTATCAGATTTCAGTTCGATGAATTCTCGTGTAAACAAGATAAAATATTATATTACGTTTAAAGATCTGCAATGCTGCTAAAGTATAAGATTTGCAATATGAATATATATAAAACTTTATACATGTATTGATTTTTACTGTGTACAGTATATAAATATATAATAGGTAGGTATATAACTTATAAAGACTCGCAAAAATGAATCCTCGAATGAAACGTATAACCTTATTTAAAAAAAACTGGGTTCACCAATAACAGTAACAGTATATATTATATTAAATACAATAAGATAAACCGGTATCAGTATTATCATACAGTAAACCGTACTGTATTCAATATGAATCTATCTATATAGTACATATTAATAGAACTAAATAACGTTATAAAAAATAAGATAAAAAACAGGTTCAATATTTATATATGATCTACGATATATAATTCTCACATATATGTTGTACCCCAGATGCGAATTTGCCCAATTGTTAATCGGGATGGCCCAGATTATAATTTGATTTTGGGCTA